CGATCGCCCACGCTAGTCGGCAAGGCACCGGATGATGATGAAAATAGACGCAATCACTTTTGGGTCTCGCGCTCTCGAAAGCCCATGGTTTAACTTAGTTTAAGTATTTTACTTCTTTGTCTTCTTTGATATTTTGGGAAAGCCCGGAGCGCAATACTCCGCACTTCTCATTCACTTCGATGAACGTGCGAGTGTATCACTCTGTCGAAGTGCCAATGGTGTTGAGGGCGCATGTTATCAGTTGTGATCAGAGAGATCAAGAACTGAAACCGCGCGCCTTTGGGCGACTGAGGTAGGTGTGGATTCATCATGTGTTTGCACAATGTAGTCTCGCTAAGGAAATAGCAGGAATGCAAGATGCTTTTGGAAAACAATGAATGTAAGCCAAATAAAATAGTATGCACTATCCCATCACTACAAAGTTTGTATCAATCATAGTGACAATGGTATTACGGCAGATAAGGGGCGTGCCGACCTCGATTCATATCACGCTGGATTATGGTGCGGAAGACCCTGGTTCCAAATCCCAATTTGCCGTTCTTGAATTTGGATTGTTTGGGGATTTTCAAGGTTCCCACCAACTTAGTTTGTGTCTCTCTGATATGAACTATAATGAACTTTCGATTCGGAGATGCCTCCTCTTGAATGTCATTATAGTGCACAAAGAGACTTGAAATCCTCACTATTCCATCGCATACCATATGCTAATGCAGGGAAGGAACGAAAGGACAGACGAGTGAAACGAGACAGTACAAAATCAGTAAGCGTACAGGGACACCTTTTTCCTGATTCCCGGGCCCTAGCTTCTGGCGTGGAAAGTGGAACAGCTGATCATCACATCGCGACTCGGATTTTCCACCAAGGGTTAGGCTGCATGAAAAAAAGAAGTTTTGGTTAGTTATACTATATTGTCTCAAGTAGCGTATGGGAACTTTTGCGATTTTGGTAATTCTGGTGGGAAGTGGGATCACCCAGGTAATGATTGCTTTATTAAATGCTACGCTTAGAATCACCGTTGAGTTCAACAAACGGTATGCCACATTTTTCTAAAAATTTGTATTTTTGTTCCAGTGGCTATAGACCCTTCTCCTTCACATATAATTATTTTCACTGAGAGGATTAGACTGTTAAAAAGGTGTTTACAGTTCGATTCTCACGTGACCGAAAATTTATGTGACAGGGAAAGATCTGCTGCCACGGAAAAGCAAAAATAAAAGAGTCGATTTTCAGAAAAATGGGGTATATCAGTTTCTTGAGCTGAACCGTCGATAGGAAGGTGGTACGAATATGTTTTAAAGGTGGCAAAAGAGTGTTCTGGCTATAAAAAGGTTGATACGCACAGGTTTACAGTGTGTGTCCGGTGATGATGTGCCCATGCAGCTAGTTGGTAATAAAACCTATGTACACCTGTGAGAACAAGGAAATGATCAGTTAATTATCAACACTTTGGTTTTTTTGGAATATGGTTTAACAGGACAATTGCTGGAGAACATCATGGCACTTTATAAAAACAGCGTGTGTGCCGTAAGATCAACAGAAGGACTATCGGAATGGTTCCCCATCAGGTCTGTGGTAAGACAATAGTGAGTTCTCTCTCTGCTTCTCTTCGTCACCTACATGGATAAGATCACGAAAGCAGCAAATGACAACATCACTGTACTGAACGAGCTTCTATTTGCTGATGACCAGCCTTAGTTCATTATATACAGATGTAGAGGAATTTTTTAAAAACACACCACAAAACTAAATGAGGAATGTAAACACTTAATCATGAAAATCTCCATCTCAAAAACAGAAGCTATGAAGGTCAGCAGAAACCCAGGGAAACTCAATATCCTTATTGACGGAAAACAACTCCAACAAGTAGAGGAATTTAAATATTTGGGAAGCATCTTCACGTATGGACAAAGAAATAGAAACAAGAATTATTAAATCAAATGCAGTGACCTGCCAGCTACCACCCCTGCTCATTCACAAGAACATCCCAACCGAAGTGAAATCCCAGCTCATCAATAGCATCTTCATACCAACATTAACCTACCAGTGTCAAAATGGTCTCTAAACAATGCGCAAGAAAGGAAAATAAGTGCATGCGAAAAGAGGTGTCTTCGCAAAACCATCAACGTCACCACAGAAGATGCCGCATAAGAAACGAAACCATACGTCTACTAACCTAAATACCACCAGTAATAATATTCGTAGAGCATCAAAGAGTCTACTGGTTTGGACATCTAACCAGAATGCCCCAGAAACAACCTGCGGCTAGAGCTAACAACACCCGAGAATCCGGCTTCAAGTCAAGAGGAAGACTGAGAAAGACCTGGCTGTATGGGGTTAAAAAGGTCCTGGAACAACTTAACTAATCTATCCCAGACGCTACACACCTAGCACACGACCGAAACCTACACCTCCCCTCGATATCCTAAGGACACCAGAGGAAGGAAAAAGTAAAGTAAAAGTAAGTTTCCTTATCTGGTGTATCTACAGCCAGGAGTTGCACAAAAGCCTTCATTGTCTCTTTCATTTGAAGGCTGGTCTTGCTTCTCGTCTTCCACTTGCTGCTGTCTGTTGTTTATCTCTCATTATTCCACATTCAAAACTGATTTCTGCTGAGGCTTTGTCTCTTTTATGGGCATCTTTTTCCCCCACCTTTTTCCACTTTTCATTACCTAGTCCTCGAGTGTGCCCTGGCCAACCGCATCTAAGCTGCTTAAATACGAGGGAAAAACAAAAGTGTCTTGCTTTTTTATACCAAGTACATATGTCGTCGCTGTCGAAATCAGTCCACCTAGGTCCACATTTTCAGAATTTTTGAATGTTAGACTCTCTCGAAGCTCTACCAAAGACCCACCTTTCAACATCAACAAAATGCTGTTTAATGCTATGGCCAGGACTTTGCATTTCATGATTCTTTACAGAAACAACACATCAAAACCTAGTTTGTTTTTGTCTCCGATGTATAAAGTATCCTAAGAAACTTAAGCGGATTCCTTGCGACACCAACGACGTACTTTTAAAGGCAACACAACCGATTGCTTTTACAGAGCACAACGTCTTAGCTCTTAACAACGGTGTGTTTATTGTCCCACAGGTAGGATCTGTTCACGATGGCTCGGCCGGCGACGAGGCGTAGGGAGCAGGAATTCTTTAGCTTTCTCTCCAAGTCGGTCATCCTCCTGTTCTTCCTCCTAGTGAACGGCATCTCGTTTACCATCAAACCCGAGATGGCCACCATGTTCGTGGTGCCCAGCGTCTGCCTGCTCTTCCAGAAACGGTTGGTCGGGGTCAGCGTGACCGTCATGGCCTTCGTGGTGGCCTCCGCCCTGATCACCAGTTTCGAGTCGGACATCGTTTACGTGCTCGACGTGCACATTCTCTTCTACAGCACCGTGCTCTTAGTGAGTCGCGTTTGTTTGTGTGTCCCCCTGCTGCTGTTCAAATGTACTAACCCTGATATTTTTAGGAAAAAAATTAAGTTTCTTAAACTTTGATATGGGTTGTATACTCGAGACAGATTTGGTCGAAATTCAAATTCTAAAAACGTCGGGACACCCCCCCCCCCTCTACCCCCCCCCCCAAAAAAAGGGAAAAAAAGAAGAAACAACAATGACAACAACAACAACAGCAACAAAAACCCCTGGAAAATACACGGTACATGACGTGGCTACAATATTAAAAGAAGGAAAGCGTTCTCCCTTGAAAATATTGCTTTATGGGCTTAGAATAGTTTAGGCGATTGCGCGCTGAAGATAGGGCCAACTGTATAACCTCTCGCCATAGCCATGTCCATCCGTCTGTGCTCCCTTCTTCCCAAAACAGGTTCCCATCACGCCCGGTCTATACTGTGACGTAATGCGTGTATTTCATGACGTGGCAGGCTACTGTTGCCAATTGTAGGAAGAATATTATATCGAAAAGTACCCTTGCCCGCCTTCCCTGAGATTGTTTGTTTTGTTTTTGTTTTGGTAAGTGTTCTACGCCGATCTCAAATGCATACGGTCACATGAGCGCGCGGGACACATTAAGCTTATTCAATTTTGGTAGGAATTTATTTTGAATTTTCTCTGGACTGATCGAAGCCTACTCTTATTGATTTTAGGACCACCAATGGATCTTTAACATGTTGAAATGTTAAACATGCACACGGGATCTCCGATATTTTTCTCCCGTATCCGAAAAATCGGGGATGTGGCTGTAAGACATCAGTAAGACAGAGCCATTAGTCACAGTAGAAAGAGTCAAGAGCCCAGAGAAAGGGGAAAAGGGGGGGGGGGCAGAAAGTGGAGATGAAAGCAGATTGTAGAACATATTCAGAGAACAGAAAAACATTTTAGGGAAGAGAATTTTCTGTTAATGTTAGGTCTCGGGACCTATCAAATGAGAGGCGAATACTATACCTGTAGACCACGAGAGCCCCCGCCTGGCAACGTTGAGATAAAGCAAATACAGTAGGTTGGCAATGAAGGGTGGTGATCCAGAAGATCAGGGGTGTGGCAGAAAGATAACTGTAAGAAGGAGTCAAGGAGTAGCAGTAGAAAGGCTGCAGAAAGAGTCAGGAGCACAGAGGAGGGGGCAAGGGGGGTGAGGGGGTGGGGGCAGAAAGAGAAGACGAAAGCAGACGAAAGAATATTGCTAGAGAGCAAGAAAGGAGGTGAAAGGAGACAATTATAGAGAAGAACATTGTTCGGTCGCTACCCGGATTCGAACCAGGGACCTTTGAATGAGAGGCCAACACCTTAACCCCTAGGCCAAGAGAGCCCCCAGTGAAGGGTTTAACGTTCGTTTCATCTTTATATAAGTATGTATGGCTATGTAAGAGGTGGGACCCCCAAAACGTAAGAGATTAGACCTCCAGATGTAAAAAGTGGGACACTCAAGTGTATGTTGGAGATAGAGCCTTCAAAGGTAAGAGGTGAGAGTTCCAAATTTGAGAAGTGAAACCTCCAAAAGTAAGAAGTGAGACCTCTAAATGTAAGAGGTGGGACCTCCAAAAGTAAGGGGTGAAACCTCCAGATTTAACGTTCATGTATCTAATAGGACAGAACAAAGAGGAAGAGAGTCATGAAAACTCCTCAAACAGCTCTAGTTATTGTTTTATTCCCCGCTAGGGTTTCTAACTTGGTTCGTGGGTGGTTAGCGGGTGCTCTGGTGTGGTTTGCTCCTTCTTTCCTCTTAAGCATCTATCGTCCTTATCTCTCCTCCTTCTTTTTTACGTTTGTTGTTACTCTCTTGTAACACCTTTAATCTTCGGCACTTATATGACCTTATAGTGTTGCAAGTGCCGTAAAACTCTTTACTAAACTAAACTAACTTGGTTCACCCTCTTTAGTCAGTTCACAGTGTACCTTAGAGCCCCTTTTTCCGGGGTTTATAACAAAACAAAACCAAAAAAGAAAAAAGGGTGGAGAAGTAAGTTACAATTTAACACACCGAAGTTTATATCGTACAGCCCGATTAAACCAAACACAACTAAAGACGATAGATGTTTGATAGAAAAGAAGAAGCAAACCACACCAGAGCACCCGTCAACCACCCACGCTGGATGTTTGTGTGTCGGAATGTTATAATCTCCCTCTAACAAGCGTTGATGCGCGCTGTGTTTGCATTTGATCAACATCATCACCTATTCACTCAAAGTTGATTCCGTGCAACAATTCATTTTTTTAACACCCCCCCCCCCAAAAAAAAAAAACCCAACAAAAAACATTAAAGAATAACAACAAAACGCAGAAAAAAACCCAAATAGATCTAGCAACAAAAAAACCCACCAAAAAAAAAACAAAAAACAAAACAGAGGTTTTATGTTTCGATGTTGTTTGTTATGTTAGATGGTTGTTGTTGTCGTGGCAGCTGCTGTTACTGATGAAATAAGCTGTTTGGTTTTTTTTTCAATTTTGAAAGTACCGGGAAATTTGGCATTAGTCACAATTTTCATTGTCAGTTTTTTTGTTTGTTTTTTTTTTTTTA